AAACTGATGTTCGTGCCTGAAGCCACAATGAAGTAAGAGACACCCAGGGTCTTGAGCCCAGCAGCCAAACGCCCACCCTGCACAAGAGAAAATGAGAGTTGCCCCACCCATTCTGAAAGGAATCAGAGCCCCAAATGTGCTCCTTCCCCAAGGCCATGGGTACCATTGTGGAACATGGTTGAGCCAGGCACTGAGGTCCCCAATCTTGGGCCACACATGATGTTCCTGCCTTCACCATCCACACCTAATCCACTGCCCAATACTGACCCTCCTTCCTGTGACTTGTTGCTCCTTTCCCTTCTGACACCCTGCCTCCAATCCTACCTCCCCAGTCAAGCCCAGTTCCACCTGCTGCCCATCCATCCTCTTCAAATCGCCATTCTTGTCCCCTGGGCCCCAGTCAGACAAACCACTGGCAGTTACACGTCTCCCCTCCCAGCCCAGATTTCACTATCCCTCCAGCCTGGACTTGTGTGCCCCTACCCAAACCCTGAATGCAGCTTAACCAGAAGAGCACCCCCCTCCAGTGCGTGTGAAGGGCTGGGACAGAGCTTCTTCTGGGCCACACTTCCCTTTCTGTTTGCTGAAGGAGGATGATGTTCCTTCTCGGAGGGAGGAGAAAAGGCTTCTTTGTGCCGGGTCTGCTGAAAGTGTGTCTGTTTCGGACAGGCTGCAGTTTTCTTTGTGAGCGCTGTCGATTTTTAGTGTGGGAAAAAGGGCTTATTCGATTTCCCTGTGGCTGCCCAGAGCGGGGAGAGGTTTTTCTGAGTACAGAAAGAAATTACCGAGCAGGCGTTTGAGAGGCAGGAACGGGCATTAAGCAGCTGCTTCTCAAGGAGAGGTTAGGATGCCGTGGTTGCTGTTTTCTTTCAGGCATAGGTGAGAAAGGGAAGAAAGGTGCTCACACCGGTCTGTGCTCTGTCCTTTCAAGAGGGAAGGAAGTTGGGCCTTGATGGTCTTGGGGGTGGGGAGAGAGGAGGGCAGGAATTTTTGTTTCAGGGTTGTTGGCATCAGTAAATTGCTATAAAGGATGTGACTGCATCAGGTGACACCAAAATGTCTGTAACTTTTTTGTGCATTCAGCCAAAATTTCTTATTTTTTATAGCAATATCACTATTAGTCATAACAACAGAAAGTATTTTTCTAAAGCCCAGCTTGCACAAACCAGTACACTTATAGTATAAAACTCGAAGCAAATTTATTTTTTGAAATTTCTAAGGGCTCTGTTGGAGTCCTGGTGTGGTGCTGTGGGTTAATGTGCTGGATTGAAAAGTCGGTTTGACCTGCAAGGTTGGCAGTTCAAACTCACCAGGTGCTCCCTGGAAACGCTATACAGTGTTGCTATGGGTCGGAACCAACTTGACAGCACTTAACAACAACAACAACGATGGCTCTGTAGGATAAGCACAGAACTGTGAGCTACCAGGTCGGTGGTTCATGCCTTCGGAGGGAGAAAGATGAAGCTTTCTGCTCCTGCAAAAATTTATAGGCTCAGAAACCGGATACAGGGTGAGTCAGAACCAACTCAGTGACAATAACCAACAACAAGAATGCACTCCAGTCAGGGTCTTGGTGTGGCACAGTAAGATAAACAATGGACTGCTAACTGCAAGGTCTGTGGTTCAAACCAACCAGCACTTAACAACAATATGCTCTGGCCAGTCCTGTCATTATTACAAAATCAGAATGACCCTTCGAACTTTCTGGTTTCATAGGCAGACACTACAAGCAAGCATTTGCTGTTGTTTTTGTGGCTGACAGTGTTTTTGTAGTCACTGATTTTGTCAAATGTTCTGGTTTTATGGCTATAATATTGCCCTAATTCATATTTGTAAACCTATATCAATAACTTTTTTGAGATTGAAAGAGTAATGAAAGGAAATGCAGGAAAAATATAAAAAATGTGTCTCTTCAGTTACTAATAATGTTGCAACTGATCGTGTAAATCAAGGTAGGAAGATTTTTATAAAACAACTTTGTTGTTTTTGTATTCGCACAATCTAAGAAATGGTGTTGTCAATGCCGTCAACGAGGTTCTGACTCATAGAGATCCTGTTTAGGGCTTCAGGAGAGCGGCTGGTGGGTTTGAACCACTGACTTTGAGGTTAGCAGTCCAGTGCTTTATCACATATTATTCTGTGATGAAAACAGATGATGAGCATCACTGAGAATTCTGTCTGATCTGGTACAGGAGAAAGTGCATGGTAGGGGGCTGGGAGACACCAACCCTGGCAACACTACTGTTCATTGGGCTGTTTTTCGCTCTTCAAATTAAAAAAAAAAAATGGTCACAGAATCCAGAAGAAAGGTTGTCATGGCAACAAAAGTTTGCAGCTAGGTACTTGCTGCCACCCTTCTGGGACCACGACAGTGCAGGAGGAGGCTTCGGGTGCTATGAGATCTGTTGGTGACACCAGCAAGCTGGATCAGAACTCTCAAATTTCTCATGAGCACTGACAGGCTGGGAATGATTTTCCAAGCACCCAGGGAGGAAAACTGTCATCTTCTGGGAGGGGTACTTTCTAACCAACGGTGAGCAATAGAAGAGTGAAAACTGTGGGTCTATTTATTTTCCCAATGAATCAACCATTCATGGTTTCCTAACAGAGAACTACAGGGAAGGGGAGATTAGGCCCCAGCCCATGGGTCTTATGATGACCCCCACACACCACCACCATGTACCTGCCTGTATGACTACCTGCATCATTTTCTTTCCCATCACTGCACCTGCTCCCCTCATGCCATGGGAACCCACTAGCTGTGAGCCTCTGGACAAATTTCTAAACCCCTCCGAACCTCAAATTCCTCATCTGGAAGTGGGTTCCTCAAGAACCTGCCTCAAAGGAGATGAGAATTCAACAACTGGCAGGTGGAAAATTGTAACAGGGCCTAGCGTTTTTGCACTGAATACATGCTAGCTACTACTGTTTAATATTTTCAATTAATAGTTTCCAAAAATACTTAGCCTTAAGCCTCCTGAGTCAAGCTCTGACTGTGCTGCAGGGAATCACTACAGGACTTGGACTGTGACCTTCAGGGACAGGCCAGGAGAGATCTCAGGTAGTTAGGAAGTCCAGCTGCCCAGCATGGCCAGGGCACAAGGCGGACAGAGTCACAGAGCATGTTTCTACACAAACAAGGTACTGGCGAGGGGCTCCCGAACCTTTGAAATGCTTTCTTATGCAGAGAGAGAGAAATGTATGGGGGCTATGAAGCCTTCCTATGGGAGATTGGGGGTGGGCTGTATGGAAGCTTGCATAAGACAGGGAATTTCAGTCAAAATATCTTTGAAGTTTAAAAAAAAAAATTTTTTTTTTTTTCAGATTTCATTCTAGAGTGAAAAATCAAGTTGTGAGTGCACACCAGGAATAAGCCTGGTGGAGTGAAACCAGTCAGGAGAGGATCCTCTTCAGAGACACCATGTGTTTTGGCAAAGTGCCAGCTGTTCTGAAGTGAAGTAAGTCACAGAAAAGTTCAGAGACAAGACATGGGGGGCAGCACCCCATGGAACCTGTGATTCAAAGTCCAACATCTGCAAATGTCTGTTGAAGAACACTAAGAGTTAGACACCACCCTAAGGCTAGGGACACAACCGCGAGCCACAGGCCCTGCCTTCACAGACAAGCTAACGACCAAAGACAGGCACCAGGACATTCCAAGTTGTGCCCAGTACTATAGTGACACCTTAGAAGGCAGATTGTTTTTGTTGTTTAAGTGCCCAGTCGGTTCCAACTCACAGCGACCCTGTGTAGGGTTGAACTGTTGACCTTGTGGTTCACACTGACCAGCGCTTTATCCAACAACACCACACCTGTGGAAGGCAGACAGGAAAGCCCATTTGGAGCTGACTGAGCCTGCCAAGGGAAAGGCCTTCCAGACGGAGGGCGCAGCTAGACTCCTGGAATCCTAACTAGGGTCAATTCTTCCCTAAACCCTGTAACCCAGCTAAACCAGCAGGGCCAAAATAGTCCTCTTGTTCCCGGCAAACTACTGGTTGGTTTTACTCACAGCTGAACTGGAGTGCACACTACCCGTCCACACTGGCGAGCTATGCATGCGCGAAGTCCTTCTAACCTTGGGAAAAGAGGTCAACTCTCTCCGCTGGATTCCCACACCGGACCTGATCAACATCCATGTCAGAGACCAGGGCATCCGAACTAGCATCTCCCGATATCTGTGGGCAGCTCCCTGAGCCCTGATGTTCTCTTGCTGCCACCTCTGAGGCAAAGGGAGGGGGACCAGGGAAGGAAGTAATTTGACCAGCCTCCTGAAAAGTCAGCCCTCCACCCCAATTCTGATAGAACCATCAGTTGCCTGCCCTGCCCTGCCTGAATCAGGAACCCCCCGTCGCACCCCTCCGGAGGCTGCCGGGATTCTGGCAGCAGGAACGCCTCGGGCAGGACCAGCTTTCCAGGAACCCAGGCGACTCCCCCGACTCTTGTGCTTCCCAAGCCCGTCTGGGAGCTAGTGAACGCGGTTGGGATGGGAGACTGATCGATCCCCTGGGCTCCTGCTCTAGGGGTCTGCGGTGGGAGGGGTAGCCAAGCTAGCGTCAGTCCCTGCAGCCCACCCCCAGAGGCGGGACAGGAGAAAAGGGAGTATCTAATGCCCCAAGGAGGAAAGAGGGGAGGGGCGAACATGGAGAGGAGTTCAAGCGCTGAAGGAGCGCGCGCCCCTCCGACCCAGGCTACGTGAGGGCCCGGGGGACTCTCTCCCCGGGTGAGCAATCTACCACAGGCCGCCCAGCGTGCGGAGGAGCCGGACCTCTGCCCGACCCTTTCCGCGGCGGGGCGTCCCGAACACCCACATTCTGCCAGGGACCCGGCGCGCGCGCCCTCCTCCCGAGCGGTCCCCACAGCCCGGCGGGGAGCGTGGACCACAGTCCCGCCGGCGGCGCGGGCCCTCGCCTGCCCGGAAAGGAGCAATGTAGGGCTCCGGCCGCCGGGGCCGCGCAGCCCGGAGCCGAGCCTGCCGCCGCCCGGGCGCCGCGCGCACTTACCGAGCCCGCCGAGCTCTTCCTCGCACGAGTACCAGATGCCGGTGTGGAAATTCCTCAGGAGGAAGCGGTCGTCGCCCGTCTCCCAGCTATAGAGCTCGCCACCAGGGGGGCCGCTTCCCGAGGCGGCGGCAGGAGCGGCGGTGCCGTTGGCCGTGGCGTTGGCGCCCGAGTTGGGGCAGTTGGCGCGCCCGCCCTGACTGCAGTCGGGCTTGGGCACCCGCTGCGTGCCCTGACACCAGTGCGTGGTGAGGAAGGCGGTGGTGGCGAAGAGCAACGCCAGCAGGTTCAGGGCCACGGCCAGGAGCGCTCGGCCGCGGCGGCTCGTCTTCATGCCGCCCGCGCCGCCGGGACCGCGCCGCCGGGGAGCTCCGCGCGCTAAGTTGGCAGCCCTCGCCCCGCGTTAGTGACTGCTGCCCGCCGCGCCCCAGGGTGCGAGTGCCTGCGATCCGCGGCGGTGAACGCAGCGTGGGCCCATGGCCCCGGCGTGGGGGCGCGGCGCAGGGGGCGGCGACGGCGGAGGAGCGGCTCCGGCGCGCTCGGAGCCCGGAGCGCAAGTGTACCTAGGAGAGAAGCTGCTGGCGCCTGGCAGAGACCACGGCGCAGAAACGCGCGCCCCTCCGTGGGGAGACACCTGCAGGCGGCCGGCGACACTGTTCCGGCGCCAGCCCGCACGGGGAGAGGGGGCGCCCCACGCCGAGCGTGGGCGGGGGACCGGCGAGCAGAGACGTTCACCCTAGTGGAGAGTCGGAGAGGCAAAGAGGATCCCAGGCGGGGCGCTCCCTGAAAAAGAGGCTCCTCATGGCCTTGGAACCACAAAACTGGCTGGGAGGGGCATCTTACAAGACACCAGAGAGGGCCTGTTCACGGGATATGGGTCCTCACAAGGGACATGGAAAAGCAGGACCACCCCCTCAGGAAAGGCCCCACGTAAGACTCTGACAGAGGAATTTCTCAAAAAGTGTAAGCCGCAGAACCTCATGCTGGTCCTGGAGTTGCAGGACTGGTCAAAGGGGTGCTGGTGGCAAAGAGCTTCCCTTGGGTGGTCCCAGTGTGGCAAAGGCTCCTCTGCTGGGTGAAGCTGCGGTCATCTGGGGTTTTATCTCATGAACACGGAATTGCAAGGAAGGATGAAAAAGAGGTGCCCCCCCCTTCAGGGAGCCTTATTTGAGTGTTCCCCACACAGAACACCCCACTCCCCTATCCTGAGCAGCATGAGCCTAGGAGGTCCCATGCTGGATACAGCTGCTGTAGCCACCAAGCAGGGCTACCCCACTGGGGGCTACCAACCAGGAACCTTCAAGAATCCAAACGTGTTAGAAATTTTTAAAGTAAAAAAACCAAGTTGGAAGATATTCATGAGTCTCACAGAGACCATCTTCATAACGTGGAAAGGGAAAGAAATTCACAGTTGAGTCTCCATTCCCAGCTCTTTGGTATGGGGCTGGGGAGTAGAGGTGTCAAGCACACCGACTTTGGGGCCAGGCAAACCTGGAGCTTGACCAGCTGTGGAACCTTAAGTCTCTTGACCTCTGTGAGCCTCCATTTCCATGGCTTTGGAGAGAGGCGCACTGCACCTCAGAGGCAATGTGATCATGCTTATAGACTGCATAGAGTACGTTGCAGGAACAGCATTGGTTCATCAATCATTTGGCTGCTAACCAAAGGGCTGCTGTTCGAATCCACCTAGTGGCTCCTGGAGAAAAAGACCTGGTGATCTCCTTCTGTAAACACCACAGCCTAGAAAACCCTATAGGGCAATTCTCTGTCACATGGGGTCACTCTGAGCCAGAAATTGACTCCATAGTACCTAGCTACAACAGGTGCTCAATAAATGTTGTTATTGTTAAGTGCCTGTGAGTCAGTTCCAACTCTTAGCCATCTTGTTTGGAATTTCTAAGGAGCGGCTGATGACTTTGAACCTCCAATCTTGTAGTTCAAATCAACCTTGCAGTCCAGTGTATTATCCCACCAAGACTCATTAGTTACAACATTGATTGACAAAACTAGGACAAGCCTTTTCAGACCCTCCACCTCAGCTCTGAAGTTGGTCAGGTTCCCTGAACTTCCTACACAGTGGGTACACAGGGCATGTGGTGCCGGGTGTGCAACAATTAATTTCATGTTGATTGCAAGAGCTCATTTGAATTCTACCTAGGCTGCCAGCTGCTCCAACACACCCCACCCCCAGTTTTTGGAGTGGCGGGACTAGCAGATTTCAAGGTTAACGGACTATGAGTTGCCTTATTCCAGTGGGTGAGGCTGTCTGTGCTTACTGTCAGCTGCTGCTCTGCCTGGGGGTAGGTAAGAGTAAAGCATTGTGGGCAATGTTCCTGGCAGGAACTCAGATGAAGGATAGCCAAGGGTCTGCAGACCTGCTTAGAACTCTTTTCTGGTCCTAGGCAAGGGGTTCCTAACTATTTTCAGCAGGAGGACCTCAATGTAATAAGATGTGTACTGGCTGACAGAGAATATGAGCAAACTGTTAAAAAGAATTCTGTAACGCTTTTAAACGGGCATGCAATACGTATCACAAGAGTGTCTGGACACATTTGAAACCTCATCTCTTAGATGTGTGTATACCATGGTAGTTCTTTGGGCTTGAGACAGTGATTGGTAGGCCTGTGGGCAGGATTTGGTGACCTATCCTCTGAAAACCCAGTCCTGGTTAAAACTCAGTGTAACTTCAGGTGGAGGGGAGGGGTGAACAACACTCTTGAAAAATGCCCAGAGGAGGCACAGAGGAGTTAAAATTTCCTTCTAAGGCACGTATTCACTGAGCACTCTCACTCTAAGTTAGGCGCAGAGGAGCCAAGACACCATGAAGATCATCAATAAGTAGATTGTAGAGTGTGTTCAAGGGCTTGGGTGATAAGAGCCAGAGGGAAAAACAAAGCAGGACAGGAGGGTAGGAAGTAGAGAGCAGGGACTGAAGGGAGACCTCGCTGGGAAAGTGACATTTTAGCCAAGATTTGAAGGAGGTGTGAGGCTACCTGGAGAAAGAAAATTCTGGGCCGAGAGAGCAGCCAGTGCAAAAGCCCTGAGGCACCAATGTGGCTAAAGCTGGGAGAGCACGTGGAAGAACAGAAGGAAGTGAGGTAATAGAAGCAGGTCACATAGGTCCGTTTAGGCCATTCCAAAGGCTCTGACACATACTCTGAGAGAGTAGGTACCTGGAGAGGTTCTGAACTGAGGAAGACATGAATGAACTTAGGGTCAGGTCCAAACAGGACCATTAGGACGGCAAGTAAGTGAATTCAGGTGAGGAACACTGGTGGTGTTGACGCAGCCCAGGCGGATGGCAATGGCAGCAGAGACTCTGGGTCTCTTGTTTGTTTTTGTTTTTAAACTTTTCTTTTTGAATTGAGTGAAGGTTTACAAACAAAATCAATAGTTTTATATTCAAGGAATCATACACTTTGTTTCATCTCAATGATTGCAGTCCCCTCTACACAACAATACTTATCCTGCATCCTCCCTTTAGTACAAATATCCTCTTTCAAATTCTTACATATTTTCCTCCCATATCCATGGTCTCTGTCCCTCACACCAAACACAGTTGTTCCAAGGCTGTGTATATATCACTATTTATCGCTACCTTTTTAGCCCTTTGCATACCTCCCTGTGGCTCCATCTGTCTTTGTCATTCTTCTGCCAACCTCCCTCTTCTTGTATATTGCCCTCCCCCTCACCCGAGATAACATGTGTCTGTGAATTACTCACCCTTCCCGCCCACCCCGGTAACCATCAAAGAAATGTTTCTTTTAGTATAAACCTTGTCTTGAGTTTTTACAATAGTCTCATACAATATTTGTCCTTTTGTGATTGACTTATTTCACTTGGCATAATGTCCTCCAAAGGAGCTCTGGTAGTGTAGTGGTTACAAATCGGGCTGCTAACCTCAAGGTTAGCAGTTCAAAAGTACCAGCTGTTCCGCAGGAGAAAGATGAGGCTTTCTGCTCCTGTAAGGATTTGCAGCCTTGGAAACCCTGTGCAGGGTCGCTATGAATCAGGACCAACTCCACGGTGCTCAATAACAATGTCCTCCAGGTTCAAACATGTTATGAGGTATTTCACAGATTCATCATTATTCTTCAACTTTGCATAGTATTACATTATGTGTATGTACCAAAGTTTGTTTATCCACTCTTCCAATAATGGGCATTCAGGTTGTCTCTTTTTGCTATTGTAAATAGTGCTGCAATGAACATCAGTGTGCATATATCTACTAAAGTCCTGGCTCATATTTCTTGTGGATATATATCAAGTAGAGGGATTTCTGGGTCCCAAGGTATTTCTATTTCCAACTTTCTGAGGAAGCACCATACTGTTTTCCACAGTGGTTGAACCACTTTACAGACCCACATAGGAGGGTCCCAGTCTCTCCACACCCTTGCCAGCATTTACTGTTTTCTGGGTTTTTGTTTAACTTTGCTATTATGTTTGGTAAGGTGGAGGGTCATAGAAAAAGAGGAAGACCCCCAGCGAGATGGATTGGCAAAGTGGCAGCATCAATGGGCTCAAGAGTGGCAACAATTGCGAGGTTGGCCTAGGATTGGGCAGGGTTTCGTTCTGTGGTGCACAGGGTGACTATGAGTCAGTACTGACTCAATGGCACCTAACAACAACAAAATTAATGCTTGAGTGAAATGATATCTTATTGTTATTTTGATTTGTACCGCTCTAATGACACTGGACTGTGAACCACAAGGTCAGTAGTTCGAACCCACCAGCTGTTCCTTGGAAACCCTATAAAGTGGCACTATGAGTCAGAACGGCACTTAACAACAGTGGCTAGTGATCGTGAACATTTCCTCATATGTTTGGTGGCTGCCTGAATGTCTTCTTTGGTGAAATGTCTGTTCTTGTCTTTTTTTTTTTTTTTAATTTGGTTGTTTGTCTTTTTTCTTATAGAGGTGTTGTAGTTTTCTATAAATTTTAGAGATTCGTTTCTTGTCTAATAGGTTGTTTCAAAGCAGTTTTTTCTGGGTCTGTTTTTAAGGCAGATACATCAGGATTCATTCTAAGACCAGTGTGAGGTGTGAGAGCAAGAATGTCTGCAAAGGTGGCGCTGCCTCTGCTGCAAAATCGGCTCCTTGGAAGGAGGAAGGAGATTTGAAGGATGAGCAGACGAGAAGTTTCCATTAGTTGTGTGCTAGGCCTTCCACTACAACTGAAGATGTGGACGGTGCGTGGAAGTTACACCACTGGAGGGAGCCACTTCAGAGTCTACACACCGGAAACGAATCCAAATTCATTCATACTTAATGTATAGCATGGGTACAGTGATATACAGCTGAGCAGGGATGAAGGAGACCTGGTCTTCTCTATAGA